AATAGGCAAATTTTTGTATTTTATACGGGAACTAGTTTTCGTGATTGTAAGAGACTGGTTTTCTTGCTGGGAAGTCGCGTTTAATTGAGATTACTACATTTTCGTATTTTAAATTTAACAGCATGCAATTGACAAGAGAAAAACCTTGTAGAAATGTAAAATACAATAGTCCAGTAATCAGTAGTCGGTATTTTGTTTTCTTGGCGCACCTGTAAACTAGCTGGTGCGTCCTGTAGACTCTGCTTATCAAGTCTATGAGACGCACCGTTACCATAGCTAAGTGTGTTGTCCAAGTAAAATATACTATTTATGTCTGCCTGTCTGTCTGTCTGTGTCAGTGCCACTCTATCACAATTAAATCCTGTTCTTGTGCGGAATTGTAGATGCTCTTCTCCGTGGAGTTTCTTCAGACGATCCTTTCCTGTAAACTTTTATTCAGTACTGTGCGTTTCTAATTTCATCGTTTTGTTTCCGAAAGAAAGGGACGTTTTCAGTTAATGGCAGCAGCAAGATTTTATTTGTGATGTTTGTATAGATATATTTCTAAAACAACTGAGGCCTTATAAGGAATTTTTAGCATACGGGATCAATATTTAGGTAAAACATTGAAGAATTACAGGATATTTTGAGGGCAAAGTTAATGGAATAAGGGATATAAAATCAGATATCGAGTGGGAAAATCGTTAATTTTTGCAGCTGCAATTAACAGGATACGGGAAATTAGCGGAATGTGGGATACCAAGGGGCAACCATCAGACCCATAGTTTCGAGACATAACCACTCTATTGTCTTTATAATTCACCTCTAAATTTTCTTCCGTGCGCCAGTTCAAAAATCATGTTGAATTATTTTCAACTTTTTTAGATGAAAGCCGTGAAAGCCAAATGTAAAATGTGAAAAAGAAAACAAAACCCTCTTAATACAAATTCAATTGTTTATTTTCTATAAGCCCGCTTGTTTACAGAAATATTTTCACGGACGAGTACTATCCATCCGGGTATTTTCCTCGGACCAGCACAATGCTTGTTTACTGAAATTCTATTAAGTGGGTTTTACTTAGTTTCCTTTTCAAATTTTACTTTAGTGGTGAACGATGAACACAATAGTGTTGATGTCTCGGAACTATCGGTCTGATAGTTGCCCCTTGGAAATTCAATGTTCTTGAAGCTAGCACATTTTCCCTCGAAGCTTCGCTTCTCGGGCAAATATTTGTTTTAAGAACATTAAATTTCCGCGGTGCAACTATCAGCCGATAGTTTCTCGACAGAAACACTGTTGTTTAATTAGAGTGCAGTGGCTTTCGGTCGTACACGAAATGCGACGTTTTTCTCTATTTTGGAGGAATGTTTTGATGTAATTAAATTTCTGAGATGACTAAAAAACGGACATTGACGGTTTCTCGACTTTAAAAATTTCAAAATATTGAAAAAATGGGTGCGTGCGCGTACACAAACGCAAGACTACACAAAGACTATTCAATACGTGCGATTTCGTAAAAGCGTCAAGTTCAATAATGCGTAGAAAAATAATTGGAAATCGTTATTTGCGTTAATTTCAGATAGAATTCTACTAAAATAATTGGGTTACTCGCTCTTGATTTCCATGAGCCGACAGTTGATGAGGCCTTATCGCCTCATAGACATTTGGAGCTCATAATCTAATTGTTAAAGAGAGAGAGACACTGGTAGGGGCTAGTCACGTGCCCCGATGACAACACAACGTTATCGGGAGGGGTCCCGAAAAGAGGAACAAGGTTTTGCAACTCTCAAATGTCGGTTTACTCAGAAGGGGTGGGTTTAAATTGGACGTGATTGGGAACACGCCCCATGCCTCGATGACAAAACAGACATATCGGGAGGGGTCCTTTACAGACAAGGTTTTAAAACTGTCATGTGTCCATCTACTCAGAAGAGGTGGGTTTAAATTGTTCGTGACTAGGAACACGCTCCATGTAAGCTCGCGGCATGTGTCCGCAAGCCCAGGTTAGTTTAACTGTAGTTGAAATATTACCACGATATATCTACCCAGCGATTCAATGACAGATCCCCTCCTTAATTCTCACAATTGTATCATTAATCATGAACTGAAATTAATGGAAGAAATAAGCCTTTGATCACTCTTGAGGTTGCAAGAATGAGTTTGACGTTTGTGACGTCATTGGTTTGCGCAATTTAAACTGCGAAGCAAGTGAAAATGGTCGTAATTTAGTTGCCAGAAGAAAACCAAAAGGGAAAAAAAACTATACCTTACCTCTTAAACTATTTTATTAATATTTATTGTTCGTGTTTCAATATCATATTTACATATGTACAAAAGTTTCGTCCATGGCATTATGATT